TGTCTGGTACTATTTTACACTTATTCTTGCCTATTTTTCAAGCTAATGCCTTTAGAGTTGATGGCTCAACAGGTGGCTTTCGCTCCGAAGAAGAAAGGCGATCTTTTATTCACCGAAACGCCACGCTTCGTCAGCAATTGCATTTGTTGAGTAAAGAGTTGCGTGAAAAGCGCGTCTATTCCGCTTGGAATCAAGAGGATCAACAGTGCGAAGCCAAGTCAGAGGCTGGTGTTGATAAATTCCGCACCCTCCGTCAAATTCGGCAGGGAAATACCAAAAAGCGCGTTGACGAATTCGAATCAATGTAATATCTTGTCAAATAAGGGTATTTTTTATGGTTCTCATTTGCGTATACTCTTTAACTCTTAATATCTATATTTCTCTCACTTATCTTTACCTTTATTTCTTAATGTCTAAATTAGTTTATGGTTTTCAACCATTTATTATATTTCTAGTTACCTATAACTCACTTCCATGTTGGTATTTAATAATATTTGATTGTACTTACGATCTTATGCCTTTATGCACATATCAACACGTCAAATTTTGCTGATAAATATTCCTATGTAAAGCGTTATACTCACTTCATTGCCTCATTTTAGCAAACTTATATTGTTCTCTATAAATATATTAGCACTTGATTTATTATGAAGGGAATATTTAAATTAGAGTACTCCAACATAAAAGACAATATCTCCACCTTGTAGTGTTGGACATGCTTTGCTTCACGAATTTATCATTTGCTGAATAATGAGGAAGACTTCTCTTTTACTAATTCCTTCAAGCAAATATAGATTAAAATAGTCAGATACCCATACGAAGATCATTTATGCTATATACTAAGTATGCAGGATTCTACTTAAACAGGGTGAAATTTTCTAAATAACGTTTTGTAATATTCAAATCAATCGGCAGTAATGAAGATTAATTTTTGTACAATGAATCTTAAATTTTGTTTTATAGTAAAATAATCATATCAATTTTGCGTTATTTTAATGTATAAATCTAAGATGGCGCTAGTATATAAGAAATGTAGAATATAAT